TTATATGCACTTTATACAGCGTTTCTCAATTCATTACATTCAACAGGATAAGATAGCGTTCAATGAGAATTAAGACACCTTTCGAAATCATCGATTGCGATTGAAATGAATTCAGTGTTTTCGAAGGTATCTTTAATAAATTGTCAATAGATCGTTGATTATCGTGCTGGCCAGACAAAAGTGCAGTCGTACGCCGCGAAGAATCAGAATGAATTACACCATCCTTGGCTCACAAAAGGATTAACGAAAAACGTTCGTGACTTCCTGTCCTTCACTTTCGTCACTCTCCATGGCGCGGGCTAAGAAGTTCTTTACCCAGAGCTTGAACTCCAGCAGACACAGCATCTTCCTTCACTTCTTCATTTGGCCATCTCGTGGCACGCGTTAACAACCTTAAAGTCACAGTCCGGCAAAAAGTCCAACAGTCAGGCGATAAAGGAGCAAAAAGAGAGCCGGGGAAATATATAACGCGTCATTCACGTTCATTGCCTGAAATGGTGCTGCGGCACAGGTATAGGCGCGTTAGAAGACTCGTGTCTACGTTCCCTGGCCTTGGGCTGGTCATGGCCTTCGCTCCAAACTCCAACCTCCCAACGTCTATAAAAAAGCCACCGACCAGCCGTACCGTATAGCATTCACACACTGACGGCGGCCACCCCATCGTTGCTGCAACCAAGCAACTCGTGAACAAGTCCCTGCTCTCTCCATTTCACCCTTAATATCGTTTCCATAGTGCCAACGTATGGCTGAAATTCGTTATCTTGGTATATTTGAATAATTCAAACCTCCGAGAGCGTGATATATAGTATGGGAAGCTGCTGAATAAACTAGTAGCGTGCTTAGAGCTTCGTTTACCTTATCAGGCAACGCGTGTAATCCGTATCGATTTAGCAAGCACACGTTAGAGAAAGGAGAAAAGAGAAGAAACATTGACATCAACGGAATTGCGGAAGCGATGGGCAACGCGTGTATATTTCGGGAGGTGCCCTGCCGACGAGTAACTCGCATAACGGCAATTTAAGAGCGCATGCCCTCTTTCGCACACACCCTCTGACGATCGGACCCTCCGTCGAGAGAACGCATTACGCCTGGAACAATGGCCGGGCATCAATCGGGAGGAAAGGACGAAACAATATGG